CTCTCTCTCTCTCTCTCTCTCTCTCCCTGAGTTTCTTTCACCGCTGTTGAAATCGATTCGAATGTCGCGAGCCTGTTATCGGGCTCGTTAATTATCACAAAACGGCGAACGTTTACGTCGAATAAGCCGTTTCCCTTAAGAGTAATTTCAGTTCTTTTTGCATCCTAATAAACTAATGCCGTTACATAGTGAAATGCTTCCGCTGTAAAAAATGCAAATGCAAGAGCCTTTTTTTTCTAAAAAGATATATTAGACGAGGTAAAGCCATTATTAAAAATATGCCGCAAAAATGTGCGTCAATTTGGTGTACAAATCCTTCTTTTATACAACGAAGTGTTTCGAATATACTATCACTGTATTTAATATTCTTATTGAGAATTAAATGAGCACAACGGGTGATGTAAACGTCGAGTTACGCACGCTTTGCGGTAGTTTTATCGAACTAGCGACGGAGTCATTACGATAAATTACTATTACCGTCTCCATTTCGTAACGTCGAAATAAGCGATAATTACGAATCTCTCCTCGTCGCATCGTACATTTTTCGTGCATTCGATGAGACGCGTTTTCGCTAAAAAAAAAAAAGAAAAAAAAAAGAAAAAGGACCAAAAGGGTATTTTCGTTAATCGCTTTGTAACCGAAAAGTCACTTGTTCCCGAAGTGGATATAATTTTTACAAATGCATCTCGTAATGTAATAATTTCGAGTATCGCAGCATCTACGTATACATATACATCTACGGGTTCTCGAGATGAAATATATTTACAGTCACGTATATAAATAAATGCGAAGCGTCCACCGTCCGATTGACATCCGAGACAGCGGCGCGTGAAAATGCATGGAGCGCGCGACGAGAGAAAAACTGCACGAGCAGCCTCAAACGACTCGCCAATTCGTCACCAGCACTTACCTTATGCGTATTTACAAATGCGTTTTGCTGGTGATGAATTCCTTCTCGCGTCATCATCGACTGATGATCGTTCACGGAAACACGCAAAATTTCCGCGCTCACCTTACCGAGAGTATCAACGCAAATATATCGTTCCGTTATACAAATCCGTTAACTATACATATATTTGTACAAGTACAAAATACCTACAAACCGAATATCTAACTAACGTTATAGGAAGACTCTGTTACTCAGTTCGAAATCGCAAAAATTCGATCTAGGCCGGAGGATCATCGACGTGGAATCCCGCTCTTCTTCCTCCTCTCCCTCTTCCTCTCCTCCTCTCTCGGATATCGATTTACCGTACCGTATGATGCTCCCTCTCTCTCTCTTTCACCGCTCACCATTTGTTCCAATACGATGCGTGTAAAATCATCACAGCAACGAGTTTAGGACGGAAACAGGATGTATTCCGGTAGGTTAAGCCGAACTTAAAAGCTCTCTGCAACAACAATTGGGTTGAGGTGAGGTGATAGACGTACCATGGTATGTGTGTGTATTATACATATATATATATATATATATATATATATATATATAGTTTTTTTTTTTTAGAAGCCTAGTGTCAACAGAGACGAGCAATTAGATAGGAAGTACGTAAGAAGTCAATTGTAGCGCTTAATAATTTCAGAAAGGAATGATCTAATTTTCTCGTTGTTACCTCATTAAAAAATTACTGTACGGACCGTTATCTATTTTTCGCGAAAGTGTGAAAAATGAAGTATCCGTGTATACAAGAAAGAAATATATGGACATAACTAAGCGAAATCTTAAAATTAGATGTTCCTATATACGGTCGTTACGTTATTTTCCGGTAAGCGAGCAAATTGTTCGTAAAAGGCGAGCAAAACTCAGAAATTAAATTGGCGGCGATCGTTATCCGTTTTCCGGAAACGTTGCGCGAGCGTTACATATTCGTAACGTGCGTGTAATAATATGCACAGGTAAGAGACCCGGAGTTCCATTCGAGCGTGTCTCGTTCTCGCGCATTCCATTTGCGATTTAATACGGCAATACTTACGTCGAAAGTTCTCTCCCTAGCAAGCCAGTTCCGACTAATCCAGTACGCGATCGACTCCTATTTAGTTGCGCCCTCCTTTCCGCTGCAAAATTAAAACAGAATTGAACTCGTTACAGCAGGTCTGATGTTGTTGGAGAGTAATAGGATTTGTACCAGTGGAACGTATTTTCGAAAGAATTTATGCGCTTTTTATTAAGAGAGTTAGACGTTTGTTTTCTCGATAATTACCACATGGAAACAGGAACGGAACATCATTTTATACATAATTCATATACCGACATTCCGGGAGTGTTACTCCTGTGTTAAACGGTACAATTCACAAAACACTGAACATATCAAGGAGAACAAGATTAAGACAAGCGAGTGACTCGTTATTGCATTTAATTATAAATATTTATATATGTCTTTATACAAAACAGTCTTTGGTACATGTTTTATCAAAAACTCAATTGCTTTGTCACATTTAAAATTTTAAGCCAGAACGAAAATACATATAAAAATAAGAAATTAAATTTTTTTCAAAGCAACGAGAAAACAAACAAAAATTTGCTTTAATATCACATTATAATATCATCAGTATCAGAAAAAATTGTGAAATTACATATTCACCTCACATTTCATTGAATAACTTAATAATCTAAATATACAAGTCATCGGAACGACAGAAGCGTAGTTTGATTTTTCTATTTTATTATTGCGTTATCGTAATTTCTGCAGTAATCAATAGAATATATTTGCGTGCGTCAAATACATAAAATTCAAGACTTTCTATTACAAATATTCGTTCTTGTTTGCCTAAAGAATTTGAATATTAATTAAAACATGTAAAATTTATATGCTTAATGAAAATATTTGCAAACTCAGATTCTTCACAAATCACAAATATTACAATTACCAGTCTTGAATAGTTTGTATGGCACGTAAATGTATTAATGTAATTACAAAGCCGCAGGTAAAATTTTAATGTATTGATACACATCGAAATTATACTCGAGTCTTACTATTCTCAAAATAAATAAAAAAGCGTAAAAAATTATTAATTCACATTAACACGGCTAGGGCAAAGTAAATTGATCTTACATTTATTCTAAAAATATAATTTCGCGGAATTATACCATGTTAATCGTAAAAAATATTGCAACACGTACGACATGCTTTCAACATGAGAATGTCGCTCTCTTTGGATGGGAAAATCAGATGACTTTTCGAGCCTCCTAACGCTTTTTAGAACAAATTTCTTCGCATCGATAGAATTAAAAAATTATATATATTAAAAAGATTTTCTCTCGTCAGCCTTTTCATTTTCAGTTTTGTATGAACGCTAAGGCAGCATATAATTCCATTAAATAGTATTTATCGGCGTTTGCCAAAACTTCCATTTCTTCTTCCACGAGCCATCCTTCAGTTTTCTCAATTTGTTGTTACTTTTTGCATCTGGATTGCCTGTTTCCAGAGCGAATTGCTTGTATGCGTTCGCGCGTTGTCCAGAGGGTGCGGACGCATTTACACCCTTTGCAGCGACACGAATAGAGTTCGGCTCTATAAGGTGCATCGGGCTGTTTTCCGACAGTAACATAACACCACTGATCTCTGTCATCAGCGGCGATTGCGTTTTAATTATCTGCTCGCTACTCGAAAACTGTGTGGATACGCTCGAGTTTGATAATCCCGAGTTCTTCAAAACCAGTACGTTTTGATTTTCATCATATCGTGTCAGATTTTCGAAATTCTTCGATCTCAAGAGCTTCATCGAGGTGAACGCCGGTTTGAGTATCTTAGTGTAAAGGCCGTCGATCGATTTCGACATATTTTCATTTACAGAATCCACGGCCGGCGCGTCGGCGATCGGTGGCATAGTGGTGCTCATGCTCGGTGGACTTTGCAAGTAAGCGCGCTGACTGCGGCACTTCGCGGGTGTATTGCCCGCGCGTATACGCTTGCGATTGGATATGGTGCGGCGTACAATGCTGTTTCTCTTGCGTATCTTGCTGACCACGACGCGCCTCTGCTTAACCGGACTGAGTATACACGCTCGATTAACGGAGTCCTCTTGGCCGACTAGCGGGCTCGAGTCCCATTCGTCAGTCCTAACGCATCTGGACTCCAAGTTTCTGAACGTTTTTAGCAAAATGTCCCTCTTCGGCGTCTCATCGAGCACCGGCATCGCCGTGTAATACACGCGATTGCAACGGCTGCACAGTTTCTTTTTCTGAAAGAACGTGACTCTGGACGAGTACTTGGTCTGCCTAGGCGTCTTTTTGGCCTCGTCTATCAGCATTCGCTTGTACATCTCTTGATTCTCCTCCGGCGTAAGGTAGCTCGTTGAATTGCCCGCCGTGCGTATCTCAGCCACAATCCTGTTCGGGAGTACATTGTGTCGCACGATTTCAGTCGGGGTTAGATTTTCGTGCATTAGCTTAGTCGATTTGTTTAAAGCCTTATTAAATATATATGCTTGAGTTGCCTGGTCCTTCTTCATCATCTGTCGCCCGATGTATGTCCTATACAACTTACCACCAGCCACGCGGGTTTGTCGCTTGCGCCGTTGGTCCGGTCGACTGAAGGCCGATCCAGTCTGCAGCGCTTCCATCAGACTGTCCATGACACCCTCCTGCGTCTCGTGCGCGTTCATATCGACTAATGCGCGCTTACGCGCGGCCCGCGCCGCCTTTTCCGCTTCCGCTTTCTCGCGCGCCTCCCTCGCCCGCCTCTGTTTCTCCTCGCCCTCCTTCAGCTTTATGATCTCCCTCTGCGATTGCTACGGTGAGAATATAAGAACCGCGTTAGACAGCGATTGGCTAGACTGCGGCGTCGGCGCAGCCCGACAAGCGCGTATTTACCAAGAAATCGTCTTTGAACGTCTTGATATCGCCGAAGAATTCCTCTATGGTGTACTTCTGCTTGTCGAAGGAGAAGAATTCTGAGATGTCCGTGTACAGAGAGTCCATATTTTTGAACATATTCTGCAGAACCTCGTAAGATTCCCTAGCTTTCTTGGCGAACGGCTGTAAAGTGGCTTCGTCAAGGAAATACCAATTGTCTGATCAACGCGTGATCCACAGATGTTGTGGATAAATTGTTATTAAAATCTAATTTAACTAAGATACTAGTAAAGGATACTTTCATGACATTTATAAATAGGTCCTCGTCGCACTGCGGAACTTTGGCGTTCGTGAGATCCTGCTCGAGATTACGAATATTGGTCTCCATTTGACGTAATGTTCTCTGAACGTTCTCTAAAGACACGCGACTGGCGCGATCCACGTGTGCCAGTTCCTCAACGAAGCTGAGACATTCCGGGAACTTTCTCTCTATCGTATTCACCAAGTAATGCATAAGAGTTTGCTTGTTATCGATGTCTTTAGTACTGGTCAGCTAAAAAGAAATGTACATCGTGAAACAAGAAAGATAATAAGCAATCCGCGTTATATATACAAGGTGTCCGGTTGACCACACTTCTCGTGGGTGAATAGGGCAGGTTAAACTGAGAAAAGTCCATTTTGCAATTCTCGCAATATTAACAAAATAGAGATTAATTCTAGAGAGTTGGAAAAATAAATATAATAGAGAAGTTAATTTCTGAAGATCTGCGAATTCGCGCGATTTGATTAGTAGACGGCCACTATTTACATCGTTAGCCACATCGCAAGACCCAAGAGAAGCACACTGTAAACAACAATGTGCCGCTCGTACATAGCTATTTTATAGAGCATTTCTCCCACCGTCACGCTACTCTCCAAGAAATAAATCGTAAATGCTGGACTGTCCATTGTCGCCGAATCGTGAAGAAATGCAGGTTGATTCACAAATCTTCAGAAATTAATTTCTCGTTAACTATTGCAAAACGATATAGAATTTTCCTACTCAGTTTAACTTACTCAATTTGCCTGCAAGGGGTGATGTGAGATCGATACCGGACACTCGGTATACTGCACAACAAACCTTTGTAAGAAAACTAATCTCGAATCCGAACGCTTGACCATTCTTGGAACCGGAATTCATATAGTTTCCGAGTAGCAATATTAATTCGAGAATCCGTGCAAACTTTTTGCTACTCTTCACTTCTTCACATGCCGCTGTAGCCGCCACTATGTCGGGTTTTATATCCTGCACCAACTCCTCGTATCGCAGCATAAAGCTCAACGATCTCAATCTGGGCAGTAACCTTTTTATCATGGATATCTGTAACATACAAATTAACAAACGTATGATGTTTATCATACAAATTGAGGTAAAATAATAATATAAATGAATTGTAGAAAAAAAAGATTACCGTAACACAAAACTGTTCCGCCTCAGTCAAGTCATCATACTGATCTTTGTACATTTGTAACTTTGACAATTGATCCGGCGGTGGTAAATATTGAATTAACCCCTGTAATATATTGTCAGAAATAACTGGTCCTTCGCATCTAAATAAACATCTTTTCACTTCCACGTAAGGCATGTGCTTCAGCGTCCCATTGAGAAGTATCAATATATTTTGAGCCGTCTTGCCGTCCAAAACTTTGAGATCCTTTACTTTTTTCGTTGGGGCTGATCTACGTGTACGAAAAGGATTTATCAATATCCTGTATACATGATATAAAAATGATAATTGTTAAAATGAAATTTACTTATCAACTACGTCGTCCATTTTTCTCCCGCTCGGTTTCGATGCGAATTTCTGAGCAAGACCATCCAATATTTCCGGGCTAGCTAATCTGTCTTCTTGTACTTTCATCCAGAATGACTTTTCCGTCAATTTGTGAGGCAAGATCTAAAAATCAGTTAAAAAAATTTTTAAGTTATATAGTAAAAAATACGTATTATCTTAAGAAATAATTAATATTCAAATCAATAACGATTCAATCAAATATAAGCAGATTAAACACACCGCTTTCCAATTTGCTCTTTTCAATGGGCCGTCCACTTCCCACTTCTTCTTCGGTTTCAGTCCATGAGGTAAAACTTGTATCGCTGGGGGCAGTGGAGATCCCATAGGTGGCGGCGGAGGGCCCATTCCCGGCATAGGTGGTGGTGGAGGTCCTCCTCCCATTCCGGGCATAGGTGGAGGTGGAGGTCCTTTCGAGCCGGGCATAGGCGGTGGAGGTGGACACATCATTCCAGGCATCGGTGGTGGAGGTGGGCCACCACCGCCAGGAAGAGGAGGAGGAGGCGGCGGCGGCGGTGGTCCGCCGCCCATTCCGGGCATAGGTGGCGGAGGTGGACATACCGCAGACCTCTGTACATAAAATGAAACGAAATGTTTTTAAGATTATTCAATTATTTACGGGAATGCATGGGTCTTTTAAAAAAAAATTTAATTCAGTATAGATCTACCACATGTATACTTACGGGACCACCAGGCTTCCCCGTTCCTTGCTCCAGTTCTTTGATCTTGTTTTCCGCATGCTGAAGTTTCGCTTCGGCTTCCTGCCTACTGGCTATAGCTTCCTCTAACTTTTGCGTCACCTCCACCAATCGGCGTTCTTCCTCGGCCCGTGACTTCTCGACTAGGGTATCGATCAACGGTTGTACGTCAATCTGGAAGCGCTTTGTCGCGCTGAAATCCGGATCACAGCCTGAACGATGCAACACAATTTGCGATATACACTCCTCAATCAATTTATAATATGCCGGTCTAAAAAATAAGAAAATAAAATATAAGTAAATAAAAAGTTAATTATAATTAGGTGGGATATAAACGAATTTGCATATTAATTACTCGTTGATCAAATCGCGGTAGTAAAAGTAAATGCGATCGTATAAACGTATGTACTTACCGGACCAGGGCATCATCTCGAATAAATAAGAGATGTTGAAGTATAGATAGAAAGTATGGCTCGGCGGAAGTATCCATCACCATATTTTTAACTACTTCGAAGCAATCGTTAACGTCGTCCAATTCTAATCGCACGTTGTCAAATCTCTGTACAAACTCCTCGTAATCCTCCTCTTTGTGATCATTGAAGATCTTCAAATGCGTCGCCAAGTCTTCCGACTCATCTTTCTCTAACATTTCGAGAATATCGGCTAGACCTACTCGCATTACCTCGTTCCTAAGATGTAAGCGAAAATCTAGATCCTCCGCGGATGATATTATCGAATTTATGAGTTGAAGGCACACTACCTGCAGCATAAAAATGATGTAAAGGTAAAAGAGATGTTTTTACATCAAATTAATTGTTTAGGCTTTTCACTATATAAAGAGCCACGTGATAACTCGTTAAAGATTTTTAAGATGATATATTACGATATCGTCGTTAAATAAACTTTGTTATTTTACTTGATTTATACAAATATTGTATATTAATTTAATAATACAATGAATTTGAAATTATTACATTTCAACTATACGTACAGAAAAGTATTTCTAGTAAGATTACGTTTCTCTCATTTGATTTTGCCGCAGAAAACATTTAATAATTAAAACACACAAGTTTCTAGTGAAAGATAAATAATGAAATAAGCGAAAACACAACGTACCCTTAAATTTTCATTCTTCTTATTCATCAAACCTTGTACGATTGGCAGAAATCTTTCGCGGCCTTTGAACTCGCCGTTCATAGTGACCGCGTCTAAAACCTTTTTGTGACTGTCGCTGGATATGAGGCACACCGCACCGAGTAACTTTACAGCCTCGGACATTACGGACGGTTTCGTCGGCTCCAATGACCTGGCCACGATGGTAAGGGCCTCGTGATGGGCCAACATCTCCTTTATACCAACGGTATTGTTCATGATAGCTTTTAAACAGCGAATACATTCGTATTGTATCCGCTCGTAACGGTTGTCACTGAGGAAAAACAAAATACTCATTAATAAAGAGTAACACGAGTAACTCGTAATAAATTCTGTCATAAGCAGCATGGGTCTCGTAATAAATACTGCCATAAGCATCATGCAAAACTGAAGAGTAATAATTAAGTAAAAATTAAGAATATCTTGCTATAAACTGAACAGCGCAAATAAAGTAATTCTTAAGGGGCCCACCATCCTTGTGGTTTTAAAATGATACCTTAAGTTTAGAATTTTTTGTGGCTAAATAGATAAACTTTATTTAAAATCTGCTTAGAGAACATTATTGTACATATATAAGAAATCAAAAAAATATTTTTTTTATTTTTCTTATGTCCAAAATGGCGGCGCACTGGTCTACACTGCGGAATTCCTTTTTTTCTATCGGTGTATAGGATTCCAGGCACACGATTTGATCTTGAACAAAACATAAAGAATTTTCATTATCTACATATTAAAGACTAGAGAAGTACGTAGGGATTTTTCAAAATATTGATTTTTTTCAAAATGACAGCTATTTTACGAAAGACTTGTATTCACAAAAATACGAACTTTTCGTAAAAATAGGTGCCATTTCGAGAAAAATCAATATTTTTAAAAATCCCCACGTACTTCTATAGAGTCTTTAATATGCAGATAATGAAAATTCTTTGTGTTTTGTTCAAGATCAAACCGTATGCCTGGAATCCTGTATACCAATTTGAAAAAAACATAAAAAATAGATTCCGCAAGTAAGCCATTACGCCACCACTTTGTACATAAAAAAATTTTTTTAATATTTCTTTAGTTTCTTATATATATATATATATATATATATATATATATATATACAATGTCCTCTAAACAGCTTTTAAATAAAGTTATGTATTTATCCACAAAAATGCCAAACTTAGGTATCATTTTAAGACCTCAGGGGTAGTGAGACCCCTTAAATTAAATTCTTTCGCAAGTACGTGGAAATCTCTTAAACTGTAAATTAAACTGTTTGTATTGTTATACTGCAGCAAAAAGAACTTTGTTCATATAATAACGTAAGCGGTTAAAAAATATTCAACGTAATAAATATCATCGCAAAACGACATTCAAGCGAATAGTACTTTTACGTGAATTACCTATCGTAATATATGAAGGCACTGGAATAGAGAACAATACCAATGTTAGAATAAGTTGTGCATTCAAGAGCCGGCCTAAACGCTATGGGACACCACCATAAAGGGGCGTCTACAATGAGACTTAAGACTTAAGATTTAAGAAAATTGACCAATCACAATCGATTATTCTTCTCACGTAAGATGAATAATCGATTGTGATTGGTCAATTTTCTTAAATCTTAAGTCTTAAGTCTCATTGTAGATGAAACGCCACTATACGAGAGCTAACGTTCACTTACTTTCGGTAACACTCATTGAGAGTGGCCAGAACCTGCTTGAGGCCCTTGGTGCCGAACTCCTGCACCCAGCTGAGCGGATTGTTGGTAAGCGCGATTCTGAGGGACTCGATACAGTTGTAGATCTTGTTGACGCTCAAGTCGGGCTGCGCCAGGTACTGTATGTAGTCCGCCGGCTTGTCGAATTTCGATCGGTTCTCCTGTATGCTGCCCTTGTAGTGCAACACCAGCATCTCCTTCTTCTTCGACTCCGACTGCTGGCGCAACGGTTCCTTCTTCTCCTCCGTTAGATTCATATTGGCCTGAACAGAAAGATGGTGACGATTTTCTACTCTTTCAAAATGTCCTTAATCTTTCTTTACTTAATTATTACTTCCAGTCTTGCATAATGCTTATGGCAGAATTTATTCGAGAGACGAATATCGAGACACATGAGGCACGTCTGGGAAGTGCTTTTCAGCGCTGTGTTATTGTCATTCTATCTTTATCGTTTATTAAACATAAAACAAAGATAAAAGATGACACAATAACGCTGACAGTGTGCTCCCCGCAAGTGCCAATGATGCCTCATTATTTAACAATTACTGAGCGACTGCTTATATGCATCTTATCAATGCGAAATGTATAAAGCGAGGAGATGAAGACTCGACTGCATGTTTTCATCGGCGCTACCACGGAAAAAAGATGTCTAGCGGAATACATGTAAGACATGTGTGCGACGTGCGTTATACGTACCAGCATTTCCTCGAATCTATCGTTCACCGTCTCCTCATCCATCCTCTCGATGATGCAACGCTGTTGCTCGATCTCGTTGATATCGTCGCCGGAGTGCGGCCTGGGCATGGTGTTGCTGCCCGAATAGCCGCGCTGCCCGCCTCCGCGCACGGACTTCTTCGGCCGGCCGAACCATGTGTCCAACTGCAACAATAATTTCAGCACACATTTCAATTTATTTGTCAGAAATTAATTCGTTATCACTAAAAACGCCGATAGTGCCATTTTGGTCCCGTTCTAATAAGATACTTTTTTTTAATATTATATAGCATTTATAACACAGGATGTTTACTGAAATCTTGTAAAAAATTCTGAGAATTCTCAAATTTTCCAGGTATTTTTATTCAAAATTCCAGTAAGATTAGAAAATATTTTAATGCAACTTTGAAATAAATCAGAGTGCAAGCAACGCAAACTATATATTGAAAATTAGTAGAAAGCAGGAATTCCACAAGACATCTATCATTTTCTACAATTAGAAACCTAGTATAGTACAGGGAAGGCTTGCTACAATATAGTAATAGTATCAGTGAGCTATTCTTTTCTTTTGAATATTGTCTTTTATTGTCATCTTAATTATTTTTATAAACATTCGCGAGACACGTAAATATAATACATGAATGTGTATACCATCCTTGCTAATCAATTGTCGACATTTTGTATTATCAAGATAAAATAATTAAAGGACTAATGTTTTCGGAAAGAGACAAAACTTAAATTTAAAAGTGAAATTCTAAAAATTTTCCAAAGAGCCAAAAAAATTTCAGGAAAATCCTTAATTTTCGAAGATAAAAATAAAATCTGAAAATCCAGATTTTCGAGGTTTTTTCAAGTAGTAAACATCCTGTTACAGAATATTAAAAAATATATAAAATAATTCATTCACAAATAATTCTTATACAAGTAATATCAAAACACAACTTTTCACTAATCATTAAAAACAAAAACAGAAAATTATCAAATTGACACCTTCGGCAGTGTATAATGAGATACCATCGGCGATTTTAATATTACATGGCATCATGATCAATCCGCGCTTCTAATTCGAAAAAGGAAAAAACTGTCCTCGTGGAAGAAACATCGCTTTCACTATACTGATTTTCTAGAGCGCTGCATATAATATTCGGATTTCTTCGTACAACAATAAACTCGCGTTCGGATAATAAGATGAAAACTTCGATATAAAAAAAACAAGGTTTATAGAACGTAGAAACTTCAGAGCGCGCGTCCATTGAAGATCTAACAATTTTTATCTGTGGGAACAGATATCTTATGCGGAATACGCGGGAATCGAGCCTTGGGATCACGAAGACCTGTCTACCGGGAGCTCTCCCGGGAGCTCTCTCAGGATCAACGAAAGCAATCACGAGAGCCGCGAAAGGGTAACGTTGACACGAATCCAAAGAGGTCCGGCCTCGGAATCGAGCGCAAAAATTCGATCGCGGCCGCGTGTGCGCGCGCGCGCGAGCGATCGTTCCGATAAAACTGCATTCCGATACCTGAGGCCCACTGTAAATATTTTCCTTCGCGGCAACGGAAAAACGAGTTCGCGTTTTACGATGATATAAGTCCGCCGCGCGGAACTTACATCATGCGGTTCGCTCGTGGCTTTATAGCGCGACGTGCTGCGCTCGGCGGCACGTCATATTTTTCCGGAATGACGCGAAATCGCGCGATTCTCCGGAGCATGGGAGCTCTGGAAGCAATTATATTCCGTCGGCTTACCGCGAGATAACTGGACACGCGTTTACGCGATACGCAACGCATTTCAATAGCACCGGCGCAACGTTATTGCGGAAGAGATCGAAGCGATCGACCGCGAGAGGAGGTTTGCCACGTGTCGTCTCTTTTGACCGCTCCGGTTAAAACCGAATTCCGAAGGCTTAGACCGCTCCGAAATTTGGGACCCCGATCGGCGCGACCGGAGGCTACGAATCGTAATGAGCCAGGCAGGACGTGATACGAAATAGCGCGTGTGCGCGCGCGCGCGCGAAATTAATTACTGTCATTATAGATTCTTCGGCTGTTCCGAAACGTTGGGTAATACAGCAGAATAACGACGATCGCGTAGACTATCATTAGACAGTCTAGGTAGCGTTCCTCGCAGTTACGGTAAACGCTAATGTTTCTCGCGTTACTTACGAGAAACAAAAAAACTTTTATTATTAAAGTAATAATGAGTCGCACGTCGACGTGGGATCTCGACGTCCTATATTTACGGTACGTTTTCGCGTTGCGAAAACTCCGTAGAATATTTGGCGAGCCCTGCAGCGATTACAAATATTAATGACGACATCGATTCCGCGGATGCAAAAGTCGTAATTTTCATTTGACAATAGAAAATAGCACGTAACCGCAGGATGACAGAGCGACTTCAAACAACGGAATTAATTGCTGACTAATAGCCACTGCTATTGCGCAAAAACTTAAACCACTAAGCGAATAATGCTGTCAAGGCATGTCAAGAGCCTCCTTATTAATTTTAATTATTTTTTTTCTTTTCTTCTAACGCAGTTAAACATATCTCAGATTAAAGTTGTTTTTCATTGATAGACGAAGATAAACGAGCGGTGGATCGCTTTTAACTTTTAATTTGATACAAAAGCTATTTATACGCAGTTGTGAAAACTGTTAATATTTTCTAATTAAATAATGAAAAGGACAGATCAGAGGCTAGAAGAAAAGAAAAAGGTGGAAAGAGAGTAAAGGAAATCAGGATCTCCTAGCGATCATGTTACTTTTTCCATAAGGCGGAACTGTGAAAAGTGAAAATTTTTGTAATAAAGAAAATTTTCACTTTCTCATCCTAGGGAAAAAAAAGTAGCGTCATAATCGCTAGCCTAAAGAAAAAAGCGAAGGAAAGAGAACAAAAGGGTCGTATAGAAAAAAAGCGAATTAGTTTTGTTAAAATACTGTATTAGCTTATAGAAGTACGGAGATCAACGAATTAGATTTTGATTCGAAGTCAGAAGTATAAAGAGTAGTAATGTATAAATTTATGTTTTTTAAATTTAAGTTTAAGGTATTAAATATATAATAGATGAAGTAAGATAATAGATATTAAAATAGAGAAAAATTATAATTACTATCGTCTATTATACATGTTTCAAGTATTATAAAATTATAATGAATATGTACAATAGACGATAGTAATTATAATTTTTTTTTATTTTAATATCTGGTTATCTTACTTATTTATTTGTGTAAGCTTTGTGTTTTTTATATTCTATATTTTATACTTCATATGTTATACGAGTTGTAATTTAAATTAGAATTAAAGATGTATAAATTATATTTTATATTTGTGTTTCAAGTATGCTAATAGGTATAAGTTAGAAAAAACTATAAAAACTGGAAGAGCCATCCAAAGAGTCGAAAGGCAGGGATTAATAAAATAAACAATTTTTTCCAATTAAAGGTCAGTAAAAGCTTACCCAGTCCGTAATCATTGCGACACGTTCGCGATGACACTTCGAGGACGATTAATTCTTCGACGAGTGACTCACATCGGACACGCGCGTCCAAGCCGATTCCGAACGTTGTAGTGACGGACGCACCTTTATTTTTAGGCGTAACCCACACGCGACACTTATTCACGCGTTTCTCGCGACTTTTTTAACGACGCGTCCTCGAGGACGTCGAGATGAAAAAAGAAATGGCTCTTCCAGCCCCGGCAGAAGCTGCTGTCGTCAGAGCATTCGCGCAGCAGCCAGCCTCGAGACACCTCGCGCGTTGTTCCCTCTCGGCGGAAACACCGGCTGACGTTTCCGCACTGGCGTCTACGACCGTGCAGCACCGTATCCATGCATTCGCATTCGCGGACGGTCGGAATTATAATTCAGCCGCTCGCGGTGAGACAAAACGATCGACGTTTCAGCGAGTCATGCGGGGGGGAAAAAATGGATGCGTGCACGCGTGTGTACGTATGTAACTGATACGTCGTTTGAATTAGCGGGGCAAATTAAACGTGGGCAGAACGGCACAGCTCGATAAATGATTGTCGTGACAGATGAAAACTATCTGACGTTAGATTAATTGTATAACGTTAGATTAAACCGCCAAAATCACAGAATCCCGGAGAGAGAGTTCAAAGAATAAATACTTCCTCGTTTTATCGAACAAATAATCAATTAGAGCACGTTAATAACATATAAAGAATGTAATATTATCTGACTATAGTAATGGCTGGTATAACGTGAATCATTACAATCCGTAGATACATTACGGACAAACAAAGATATACATCCGCGGAAAAGTTATTAAGGACGCGATTCTTATCGACGACTGTAGAACTCGCGTATGGCGATAAATTGCAAGCGCTCAATATCGTGTTCACCAAACAATTATCGCTGCCGTTCCTTTTATCCCAGGAATTCACACGATAACGACTTTCCCACACCGTCGCGCACACCCGCGGATACGGCCGACGACGGAGAGATTCCGAATAACGAACGGGGGAGGGAAGAAAGGAGATCCCGCGAGAGCGTGAACCGCGCTCACGGAGGAACGGCAACAAACTGACTGGCGATTATCGTCGGGTCCACGACGCTCGCGATTCTCGCGATCGTATACCCATCCCTCTCTCCCTATCCCTCCCGTACGTCGTCGTCGCTCCGATCTCGAGCCGTGAGTTAGCGCTACGAGTTAGCGCTCGGGCGAGACCATTTATTAAATTATTATCTGATGATTCGGCACGATAATGGCACAACTCACGAAAAGTGATAAGGCAAACTGACCGCACAGTATTTCCTTGTATATTAAACGCTATGCGTGGAACGCGGCTCACGCAACCACTTTCTTCCATTAATTAGCGTAATTAATATGTCGGAGCCGCGTAATCACATATACTAGTTACGCTAGTTATATAAAATTTCAATCCCTTATTTTTCTCGAAACCTCGTAAGATATACGGCCATCACTGCAAACATTTCATCTGTAATTAATGTCAATTGTCCTCTAATCTCTATATAAATTACATAAATAAGATCTTACTTTGTCATTCGATTTAAAGAATAAACGAATAATTCTTTGTACTTTATTCATTTTCGTAAATTTTCGCACGATCGTTGTGTAAAAAAAAAGATTATCTTTCGCACAAGCGACGCTCGTAGTGACACATTCACGATTAATCCGACGCGACGAAA